GCTGCACGTGGGGATCACCAGGGACCTCTTGGGGAAAAAAAAAATCCAATACCCAGGCCTCACTCCCAAACATCTCCTGAACACTGAGTACTAGTGAGCCTAGAAATCAGTACATTTAAATGTTCCCCAGGTCATTTTGATCCACAGTAAGAGCTGAGAATCACTAATGGGACTCAAAGATTTTTTTTTTTTTTTTAATATATTGCTTTCCTTGTCCAAGAAGGTCAGTTGCTTATGTTTAACAAATCCCCTTTCAAATGAGAATTTATCTGGGCATTAAGTATAATATACACACACACAAAAAAAACAAGGTCTTAGAATTGCATTTCTTAGCTGGGCACAGCGGTACATGTCTGTGGTACCAGCTACTCAAGGCTGAGGCAGGAGGATTGCTTAAGCCCAGGGATTTGAGGCCAGCCTGGGCAACACAGAGAGACCCCATCTCTAAAAACGAACAACAAAAGAATTGCACTTATTTACTTCTACAAATAATCATTAACGATGCCAAGAGTATTACACCTTTGAGGTTACTTGATTTGTTCAAATGGTTCGTTCTCATTGGGCAGAACACCATGCATTGGTCACTGATTCCAGGGAAGGAACCAAACACTGCCCATTGTATCTTGGTGTCAGAGTCACCAAGGAAAACACAATGCAGTCAAGCACTGGATGGAGCAATGCTTCACTTACTGAGAACGGACCAAGCAAGATCAAGTCCAACAATGTGCACTGGTCCCCAGTGACCAGCATGTCTCTCCCTGCAGCCAACACAGGACTACCTGCCTACATGCAACCCTCTCCTGCCACACAGGAAGGAACCCCCATCATGCTGTCTGAAATAAGGACAGCTGGGGTGTGCCTAAGGGCCATTGACACACAGGCTTAAGTAGAACAAAGGGACACACATCAAGTACAAAGCAGAGAAAGATGTTTCCACACAAGGCACTGAGCTACCGCAGGCTGTGTGCTCACGCTGTCGCGAGCGCTCCTTTCTCCCTCTCCCCCTTTCTCAATAAGGAAGTGTTCCATTCTTACGTGGCCAGTGAGGGTTGAAAGACTGTGCACATAGACTGCCTGTCCCAATGATTAATTCTAAACAAACAATTACATGCAAAAACTTCATGAATACCTTGATTTTTTGCAAAGTTCAGAATGCTAAACAGAGGAACTCTGTCACTATTCCTCAAAACATCTCTACAACCTAGAGGAACTTCAGCTTTGTCTCATTAGACCTTGGTGAGCTTGTGATCTCAGGCAAGTTACCTAATGGTTCTAATTTTAGATTCTTCATTTAAAAGTATAAATGAGATTATGCATGTAAAGTGCTTAGCTTGGTACCTGTTGAAAAAAATAAAATCATCCATTACTAAGTTGATAATGACAACACAAAGACTTTTATGCCCTTCTGCAAGTGGACAGACTAGAACCCAATGTAATTATTAGTATACCACCAAATTGAAAGAGGCAGGAACCCAAGAACTGCCAATAACTCCACATAAAAATAAAAGGGCTACTTTAAGACAGGGGAAAGGCAGGAAGATCTGTTCTTTAGATATTTTTCACAAACAGTATCTTTTGTACCTTCACAGTAGGCATGCAAATAGAAAGCATTACCTGCCCGCCCAACACCTATTTGATTTGCACGAAGTTGAGGCTGGTAGAAATCAGAGACTTTTGAAGGGAATAAAGGATAAAAAAAAAAAAAAAATTAAAATCAAGCCTTTACCAGAAATGGTTCACTACTAATTCTCAGAGATGAAGTGGCCCCAAGGAGATAAGAGACACCCAATAAAGGAGCACCCCCTCTCACTTATACAAGTTGACTCCCTTTTATCAAATGCCTGCCTTAAAATAAGACATCAATACACCCAATTCTCTTTCTTTGCAGTAGTTATATTCTATAAAGTCACCATAAATGCTGCATTAGCAAATACTGAACCACTGCTGCTAGGGGTTCCTGCCATCCTTTGGTGACATCGTTTTCATCAGCCAGTTAATATATAAGCTTGTTTTATGTGTGTTTCTGTTGAAAGACACTTCATTTAATAGATACTTTGATTCATTAACACTGAACTCATGGCCAATAGCCCTATAACTCATTCCTATCTAACATACATATTTTCTCTAGAAGCCATGTTACAGTCTTCCCGTGCTTAGGAACACTGGATAGGACTTCAGTACTATGATTGGTCACCACTTTAAATAAGATCACCAACAAAAAGCACCAAAACATGAAAAACATGGCACTGAATAGATGGCAAAAAGGACACTTTTGATATGGTTTGGCCGTGTACCTATCCAAATCTCATCTCGAACTGTAGTTTCCATTCCCATGTGTTGTGGGACGGACCAGTGGGAGGCAATCGAATCATGGGGGCGGCTACCTCCATACTGTTCTAATGATAGTTCCCATGAGATCGGATGGTTTTATAAGGGGCTTTCCCCCACCTTCACTCTGCACTTCTTGCTGCCACCAAGTGAAGAAGGATGTGTTTACTATGATTGTAAATTTCCTGAGGCCTCCCCGGCCCTGCAGAACTGTGAGTCAATTTAACCTCTTTCCTTTATAAATTACCCAGTCTCGGACATGTCCTTAGAGCAGCAGGAGAACAGACTGATACACTTGTTGACAGAATAAGAGCTGAAAGAAGGCAGAGCGTTGCCTTGTTCTACCTGAGCTGAGAATGTGCACATCAGGTGACTCAAATTTTTCACCACTCTCCACAAGTCCACGAATGATCACAAAAGCACTGTAAATATTGATACTGCAGTTACAGGTCAGTTTCAGTGAGTAGGCCAACACATAAAAATAGAATCCATGAGGCCAGGCACAGTGGCTTACACATGTAACCCAGCACTTTGTGAGGCCAAGGCAGGCAGGTTACCTGACATCAGGAGTTCAAAACCAGCCTGGTCAACATGATAAAACCCTGTCTCTGCTAAAAATACGAAAATTTTAGCTGGGCATAGTGGTGGGCACCTGTAGTCCCAGCTACTCAGGAGGCTGAGGCAGGAGAATCACCTGAACCCAGGAGGCAGAGGTTGCAGTGAGCCAAGATCATACCACTGCACCCCAACCTGGGCAACAGAGTAAAACACTGTCTCAACCAAAAAAGAAAAAAGGAAAAAAAGATCCGTGAATAATGAAGATCAAATGCATTTAGGAAAAAAAAAACTAAAAGGAAATGAAACTTAGGTAGAAACAGAGATGCTTCTGAGAGTCAGGGGACTACTGTCAACTACCAAGGCTGCAGAACACTGAGCAATAAGGGTTATGAGTACATGGGATCCTCTTACCTCACTGTAGGAGGAGTGAAAAGAAAAACAAGCTCTGTATGAACTCTCTCCAGTCCTAAAGGGAAATGAAAACACAAAATAAAAAGATCACTGAGCAAAACTAGAACTAAGCGAAGCTGGCCCTTCTCATTTAGGCTATTCTAGCATGAAACTGCCCTAATGGGCTTGCTTCAGCAGCACGTGTCCTGAAATCACCCTAAATCAGGAATTTCTTCTTGGGATAGCAGGGAACTTTTTCCAGAAGTGGAAACGTGTTGTAGACCACGTGTGGTGGCTCACGCCTATAATCCCAGCACTTTGGGAGGCCGAGGCACGCAGATTGCCTGAGCTCAGGAGTTCGAGACCAGCCTAGCCAACATGGTGAAGCTCTTGTCTCTACCGAAAATACAAAAAGTTAGCTGGGCATGCTGGTAGCACATGACTGTAATCCCAGCTACTAGTGAGGTTCAGGCAGGAGAATCACTTGAACAGGGAGGCAGCAGCTGCAGTGAGCTGAGATCACACCACTTCACTCCAGCCTGGATGACAGAGTGAGATTCTGTCTCCAAAAAAAAAGAGAGAGAGAAGGGAGGGAGGGAGGGAGGGAGGGAGGAACCTGTTGCAGATATTCTGAACAGCCAAAGTTAAAGAAATGTTGCTAAAATATTAAGATCATTACAGTCACTCCTCTACTCCACCAAGGGTTCTGTTCTCTGACATCAGTTTCTTCCTCTTAGCCAAGCACTCAGGTGGGAGGGAAGGAGGGAGGGAGGGGAGGGAAGAGAGAAAGGGAGGGAGGGGAGAAAGGGAGGAAGGGGAGAAAGGGAGGGAGGGGAGGAGGGGGAGGAGGGGAAGGAGGGGGAAGGACCTGTTGCAGATATTCTGAACAACCAAAGTTAAGGAAATGTTGCTAAAATATTGTGATCGTTATGGTCACTACTCCACCAAGGGTTCTGTTCTGTATGACATCAGTTTCTTACTCTCAGCCAAGCACTCAGATGCCTTCAGTCTCCAACCATCTCACCAACCTACCCAGAGGGAACCTCAGGATACACTAGCTGATGGGTGTGTAACTGGTTTGGAAGCAGCATCCCCTCCGTTTAAATAAAGTTTAAATTTAAGAAATTAATTATAATATGTAATTATATTCTTGGGCTTAGGCTAGACTGCACTTAAATTAAATCAGACAATTTACTCAAAGTGTCTCTCAGAAGACCTATGACATTGCTTTCTTACCTCACAATTACATTTGTTTTTCTGCTTCTTTCTCCAAACCACATGGTGGATGGCTTAATACTGATTATGTGGAGTGGAATTCTATTTCTGGAAGTAATTCCACAGGGTAATTTGCTCCACTCAAAATATTCCTCTGCCTAAAAAAGATAAAAAGCATAGAAAAACAGTTCTACATTTTCTACAAATCTGTTGTAGGCAGTCTCAAAAACAAAAGTAGAAAAGTTTCCAGACATTAAAAAAAAAAAAAGTAGACATGAAGAAACAATCAGATAATTCCAAATGGGGGAATATTCGGCAAAACAACTGGGCTGGACTCTTCAAAACCACCAATGTGAAGACAAAGAAGCAAAAGGCTGGACAAACCATCTATATCAAAGGACACCCTTTAGGCCTGACTGAACACAGTGCATGACCCTCAGATAAATCCTGGATGCCCGTGTTCTCCTATTTCCACAAGCTATAAAGGACACTATGGGAAGAACTGGGACATCTAAACATGGACTGTGTAACAGCTAATAGTACCGTATCAACACGAAATGTCCTGAGGAAGGGAATTGTATTGTGGTTATACAGGAGAATGTTCTTCTTCTCAAGAGCCACAGGCTGAAGGATTCGAGGTGACGTACCATGGAGTCTGTAACTTTACTCTCAAGTGGTTTGGAGTGGGGAGCTGGTTATACATATAGAGACAGAGGAAGAGAGGTGCAAAGTGTTGACAACCCAGTAAATCCAAACTAAGGGTGTATGGTGTTCCTTGTATCAGTCTTTTTGTTTTTTTTTTAAGACACAGTCTCGCTTTGTCCCTCAGGCTGGAGGGTGATGGTGCCATCTCAGCTCACTAAAACCTCTGCCTCCTGGGTTTAAGCAATTCTCATGTCTCATCCTCCCAAGTAGCTGAAATTATAGGCACACACCACCATACCCAGCTAAATTTTCTATTTTTAGTTACAGGGTTTCACCATGTTGGCTGGGCTGGTCTCGAACTCCTGACCTCAAGAGATCTGCCCGCCTTGGCCTCCTAAACTGCTGGAATTACAGGCAAGAGACACTGGGCCCAGACCCTTGTACCAGGCTTACAACTTTACTGTTTAAAAAGTTTTCAGGGCTGGGTGCAGTGGCTCATGCCTATAATCCCAGCACTTTGGGAGGCTGAGGCAGGTAGATCACTTGAGGTCAGGAGTTTGAGAACAGCCTGACCAACATGGTGAAACCCCATCTCTACTAAAAATACAAAATTAACCAGGCATGGTGGCACATGCCTGTAATCCCAGCTACTTGGGAGGCTGAGGCGGAGAATCACTTGAACCTGGGAGGTGGAGGTTGCAGTTAGCCCACATTGCGTCACTGCACTCCGTTGCACTGTGTTGCGCCTGGCAACAGAGTGAAACTCCATCTCAAAAAAAAAAAATAAATAAATTGTAATAATAAAAAGATTCCAGCCTGGGCAATATAGTGGGATTCTGTCTCTACAAAAAAATTTAAAAATTAGCCAGGTGGGTGGTACACGCCCGCAGTCCCAGCTATTCAGAAGGTTGAGGCAGGAAGACCACTTGAGCCTGGGGGATCGAGGCTACAGTGAGCCATGACTGCACAACTGCACTTCAGCCTGGGTGACAGAGCAACTCTGTCTAAAATAAATTCATTAATTCAAATTAAAAAGTTTTCAAAATAAATTTGGAGGGAAAAAACTAACAAATTCATGTGTTTTCAAAAGATTGAAAAATAATGGGACAACTTTTCCAAAGGCATTATTTTTAAATCCAGAACCTTCCAAACCATTAACATTCCATCTCACTCAAATTTCTTTGGGGTGCCTTTGGTACTGTTTCTTAGGAAGCTGCACATGAGAGTTAAGACTGGACTCTACGAGCTCTGGACTTACCTGTTAGTATTCTTAAAGGGTATGTGACCTAAAACAATCTTTTAAGCAGATAGAAATAGCATCTTAAAGAAAGTAGCCCTGACAAGCAAAGGAATTACTAATTAAGCTACTTTCTGGGATATGAGAAAATTCACAGCAAAACGAAATTTGCCAATTAAAAGATTTATGGGGCAAGGGGCCCAATATTATGAGTCCAATAGTAAAAGGGACAAAAAAGTTTATGTTTTATTTATTTACTTGAGATGGGGTTTCACTCTGTCACCTAGGCTGGGGTGCAGTGGCACAATCTTGGCTCACTGCAACCTCCACCTCCCAGACTCAAGCAATTCTCCCACCTCAGCTTCCTAAGT